AAGAGAAGAAAGGCCTCAGGCAACATGAAGCTTGAAAGGATGTATTACCAGAAGGCATAAAGTCAAATAATCTTTCAGCAGTTCTGGTCTGTTAGAACTTCTCTTTTGAAACTCCTGATTCAGAGGAAAACCGGAATTGAAACAGCACTGCACCATGAAAATATTTCAGAAAATGCAATGCTTCGGTCAGCTGCCATTTATAATGTGTCCCTAGCTTAGACAGCTGCTGGTAGACATTAAAAAAAAACCCTAAAAGACCTCACTTTACCAGAAGAAGCAGTGCATTACTTCAACCCAGTTCTGCAGAGTCTGTATAGATCGGGAGCTTCAGCAGGGCTTTTTGCTGTTTTAGCTAAAGCTGATTCAATCAGCTACTAGATAAAAGCACCAAAAAAGCCCCACTAAAGCGCCTGATCTATACAGATGTCACGAGAGCCAGGTACAACTAAGGTGCTGCCTCTTCTGGGCATGCATAGGGCTCGGCACGGGAATGAGCCGAGTTTAAAATAAAGCACCATTTTTTAAAAATGTCTGCAAGCAGCCTCACAAGTCCTGAGCTCATTGGTGACACGTAGGGGGTACATGCAGGTGCACATGCACCCCTTGCAAAAAGTGCTGTCTACGCTGCCAGCAGCACCTGCAGGTGGTCACTGCTTGCTATCCTGCCCCCCTCGCCTCTGACACCACTGGCGGCATCTGCGGGTGGTCCCCAATCGCTGCTGGCCACTGCTGACACTGCCGGCAGCAGAGGTCTAACACTGTTTACAGGCAAAGCAGGCCTGGTACATCTACAAGAATGAATCTGCTGTGGTTAGGAGATGCCAATTGTCTCAGCCATGCTCACATGTTTAACACCTGTTTCCTATCTCCTTTCTCTGCTTTTGCATTTACCCAGAGTTGGAGATTGTCAGCTATGCCCTTCTCTATTAGTTTGCAGTTTTGGCCTAGGAAATAACTGATTACAAAATTAATTGGTGAATGGTATATTTTTAAGTAATATAGGCTAGATTTTTGTCTTATACCCTAATTCCTGTGGCCTTTAAAATTGTGAAGACTACTAATTGTAATAATAATTATAAGATAGTAAAGGTCTGTGCCAGTTTATAATCCTTTCTTTCTTTGTTCAGCAAATAGAGAGGCAGCTGAAATGCTTAGCATTTCAAAACCCAGGACCTCAAGTAGCTGACTTCAACCCTGAAACTAGAGAACAGAAAAAGAAAGCCCGTATGTCAAAACTGAACCAAGAATTTTTTTATAAACACAAGTAAGATGATATCTTTGATGTGTTATATTTGCTTGTTTTTATTAAATTGCTCTTCTATTGTTTACTGAATAAACCCAAAATGAAAAAAAAAGAATTAATATTTTTCCATAGTCTTATGTGTAAAGTTTTCAAAGGTAAATGTTTACCTGAGAAAACTTTGTGTCTACTTTCTTTGTGTAATGTAACAGAAGTTTGACTTATTCCTCTGGCGCACACACATTTTAATTATATTGTCCATTACTGTCAGAAACTAATGCTGGTATCTCACTGTGCTGAAAGGGTGTCAGAAGGAAATATTTGTTCCTGTGTAGATTTTTCAATGTTAGTTTGCTACTATTACTGAACAGGTTAAAATGTTCTCTGAGAATCACTTTTTTCTCTTACAGGACTATGAAGAAGTATGACAAACATGGTAGGCTTCTCTGTAATAATATGGATTTGTGTGACTGCCTGGAGAAGAACTGTCTGGGTTGCTTTTATCCATGCCCTAAATGCAATTCCAACAAATGTGGACCCGAGTGTCGCTGTAATAGAAAATGGGTTTATGACAGAATTGAGACTGAAGCTGGTGATGTGATCAGCATGTTACCATTTTTTGTCCCTGACTGATGTTTTTCTGTTGGGTTTTGTAATATTTTGTAGCAATGTTTAGGGGCTTTTTCCCTTTCTTCCTTTCATTTTTAAATGTTTATTAAAGTGTTGTTTGGTCTTATGAAGTGGGGGGAATTGATTCTGCTGATGTTCCTGTTAGTGACACCCTGGGTCTTCACACTGCCCTGCTAGCATGCTTGAATCCTTACCATTAGGAATGAGTAGGTATTTCATTTCCCCCAATCCTTGCCAACTTTGCTGAAGCAGCTAACAAGGTCTTTCTAAATCTTTACTTTTTTTAAATGAAAGGTGTCAGGAGTGCAGTGGACAAGCAGTTTTCTTATTCCGGAAGGCTGGCTCATATTACTTTGATTCAGCTTCCCCTCAATCATTTCTTTGCACACATATATGCAGGTATTGGACACATCCATTCTTCTTCTAGTGCTTGTTTATATGTATTCAACTTCTGTGTGCAAACTCACTACATACTTGAAATAAGACACTTTTTAAGTGGAACCGTCCATTGGGACTGCAGTTTTGTGTATTATGCCTTCTAGTGTCCTTTAAACACTTAGCTGGGACTATTTGGATAGGGATAATCCTGCCTGGAGTGGTAGATTGGACTAGATCAGTGTTTCTCAACTCATGGGTTGTGACCCAAAGGTAGGTCGCAAGACTATATGAAAGGGCCATGAACAAACTTTAAAAAATGGATCAGCAAACTTTAAAAATGGATTCTACTTCAAAGGAGAAAAACATGGGAAACTGTGGCTTTTCCCTTGCAGGCTGTCAGAATCTTAGCCTGCAAGGGGCTGCTCTCATTCCCCACACACTGCAGGGCTGGGGCCTGGGGGCAGCGGGTCAGAAGTGAGGGGCACTGGGTCGGGACTGGCCATCAATGTTTACAAATGGATCCTGGTACAAAAAAGATTGAGAACCACTGGATTAGATGAGCTTGTAAGGCCCCTTCCATCTCTATTTTTTATGATTGTGTACCTTAGGTTTTAAAGGATAGAATGGCTGACATCACTGTTCAGCTCCTCCCTGTGGTCTAGTGTAGCAAGATGGAGTGCCTGCAGTGTCTCTGTCTCTGCATACTGTGCAATTATTTCCTTACTTAGCAGTCTATTGTAGGTAATGTTCTAGTTTGAGTTCTACTATTAAACAAGTTGACAGAAAAAAGAAAGAAAATAAAATGGAAATATAGAACTAAGTCTTCAAGTAAAGGAGGTGGCCCAGCATGGGACTCTCTTGACATAACAGAATTGAAATCCGGATCCAAATGCCATCCTCTCCCTAAGGCAGCTATTTCATTTGGCGATGGAAACTCTGGCAGACCATATATATAGCACAAATGATCTATATGTCACTCCATTTTGAAAAACAAGGGAATTTCTACCTTTGTTCTTAAAGAGGTCTATGAAGACCTCTTCAGTTCCTGAAATGGGAAGGGTTTCCAAGTTAGACTGAACCACTTCAGTAAGTGCTCTGATAAGCCTGCAATCCACTCTGCTGCAAGGATCATTTGATATAAAAGAAATCTCCCTCCTCAATGAAAGAATTGCTGAGTGCTTCCCTCCTGCCCTGGCCGTTCCTCTGAGGGGAGCTAAAGGAAGCAGCAACACTTACAGGATGACTGCAGAGACAGATCATCTTTCTCTGACACTGAGTAGATCCAAGCTAGGAGGCAATTCAAAGCCCTGGCACCCAGCAGCTTCTGGCATACTCACGCATGTCTGATAAATAAATAATAGTTGTTCTGAAACAACTTGTGCCATTGTCAATGCTTCTGTTGAAATATTTGATGCTAAAGACTCCAGCATTGGCTGTTAACACCTGCATTAGTATCAAAGGTCCTGCCAATGACACCTGAATCCCACTCACCCTTTTATGTGGAATCTCTTATGTTCTATGAATATAGAAAAATAGCTCTGGCACAGACCTTTTTGACACGCATGTTATGAAGTTTATGAGATGACCTGATATTAAACAACCTTCCAGAGTTAGTATTTCTGTCCTATGTCAGGGGGTTGTTCGTTTCAGAATTGCCCATGTCTTACCCCTCGCTGTAATTCCAAGTAACTTTGGGAATGTTCAGAATTTCTGAAATGGTTCATCCCTCTTGCTCCTGGTCCCTCGGGGCTTCTTCCCTCCCACCCAGCCCCATAGGGGACTCCACTTATGGCAGAGAGACTTTTTCCCCCTCCTTTGAGCTGAAAGAAGTGAGAGATAACACTTACGTGTTTTCAATATTCAAGATATTATTAACCAAGATACTTAGAAGCTTGGTTGAACCAGATGACCTTCTGAAGAGTATTTAGATAAAATGACAGGGTGAGGACAGTTTAGATCCTGGGTCTTCCACTCTCTTGGGAAGTGCTGTATTTAGGCTAAAAGGTAGGTGGGCCCTCCTCCTCCTGGTTGCTAGTTATGTTTTTCCTGTGACTAAAGATTTGGGATTTACACCATGTTTAGTCATGTCTCATGGCAGGTTAGGACTGCAACAGCAGGTAAGTGAAGTTGGACACCTCTGTGGAGCTCTTCTGGACATGCTTAAAAGTCAAAATGGGGACACATGCACATGTCCAAGTAGCCTGGTGGCTCTTACCAGGGTAAATTAGGATTGTGTTTAGTGATTTAAGTGTTTAAAAGCTGCTTAAGTGCCTCTTTGAGGTGAATTTGGATTTAAGTCACGGTGTCTTGAAATTCTTGGAGATATCAAAAGAGGTTCAATGAACATCAAGGACCTACCCTTTGAGGGCTGTAATCCCTTTAACAAACATATTGATGAGGCCCTGCAGACATTAAAGGACTCTAGGTCCACTTTACTCTCTTTAGACATATATACTTTGTCTCTCAGAAAGACGCAATACAGACTTCCGAATGTTCGGAGACAGAGGAACCTTCCTTCAGCAGTTATGGCCAGCCAAGCTCATTCTGCAAGAAGAGCAGATCTTCAACTGCTACAGGTTTAATGCTGGCCTTTCATCAGTAAGTTTGACAGTGCAGTTATAAGACACTTCTTTCCCTGTGTTTGGGAACCATCTCTTTTGTTTTTAGGAGGCCTGGACTGTTTAGGTTGACCCAACCTCCACATTTTATTCATAAAATTGGTTCATGAAAAAGTTCAAGATATCATTTTTGTACAAAATAAGGATGGGTTAAGTTGCTGAAAACCCCAGATTTCCCTGGGATAGGAAAACCATATCCTGCCCTATCCAGCTCTAATAAATAGTCACCAGTGCTTTTCATTATTTCGAGCAGTGGCTGCCAACCAGTCAATTGGCTGATCAATCGTGGAGCCTCTTCCAGTTGATCTGAGGCTGGCGGGGCTGAGTGCGCATGCTCATGCACACACATACACCCTGACCATCCCAGCAGGTCAGCCTGTTAGGGAGGGAAGGGGTGGGGGCCAGATCGAGGCCCCCACAGTGAGGGACGGCATGCAGCACAGGCAGGAGCAGGGACTAAAGTGAGTGGGGCCCAGCTGGGCTGGGTGGTGGTAGGATCAGAGCCCAAGGGTGCAGTAGGCTCCCACCGCAGTGCGCATCCTGGCAGAGGCCTAGGGGGGGATGTGTCCCCCCCCATCCATGCACAGGGAGGAGGCAGCTGGTGCTGCATGCTGCGTTTTGCACCCCAAGCCCCACTGCAGCTGCCCCAGGAATGGCATGATGCAATACCACGTGTGTCCCGCCACTGGGTAGGCAGGGAGTGAGGCTCAGCCCAGCAGCTGGATGCACATGGCATTGGGCTGCTCCTGGGCCAGCTGCAGTGGGGCTTGGGGTGCAAAGCCCAGCACACAGTGGCAGCTGCCTCTGCCCTGTACACAGATTGTGGGGGCATGTGTCCCCCCACAATGCAGGGCAGCATGGGCAGCAGGGGTGGGGAAGGGCCCACATGCAGCAGTGAGGGGGAGTGTGGGGCTGGGGTTGGGGCAGAGACTGCACCGCTGGGGTGGGGCATGGGAGGAAGCTACAAGCAGCTCATCTGAGAGGCACGTGGGGGGTGCACACACAGGGGGAAGGCATGGGGTGGGTGTGTGCCCCCAGATCTGCATGTGGGGTGAGGGTGGGCTGCCATTGGGCTGGGGCCAGGGCTGCACCACACTCTTCCCAGCTGGGGGTTGGGTTGGGCTTAGCTTGGGGTGGGTGGCAGCATTGCTGGGAGGGGGTCGATGGGGGTGGGGGCTGCAGCCACCTGAAAATTTGCTGTAGTTCCACTATTGTCCCACCTCCCAGTGCTGCTTCTACCCACCCAGAATGCAATGTGGCCCAGTCCCCCACACAGGGAAGAGCCCGGTGCAGCCCACCAGGCCGGGCCCACAGTGGCAGCCCTCCTTGCCCTGTGTGCAGATCTCAGACACATGGCCCCTATGCTCTCCTGGTGTGCATTCAGCGGCAGGAGCCGCCACCCCTTCCTTGCACCAGGCACCCCCCTGAGCCACTTGTGGCTCTGTCCCATGCCCTGGCCTGGCTGTGCAGGGCCTACCCCTGCCCCTGCCCCAGTCCCACTCCCTCCCTCATCATTGCGGGGGAAGATTGAGGCCCCAGCAGTGAGGGAGGGAGTGGGACACAGGCAGAAGCAGGGGCTGGGGTGAGTGAGGCTCTGGCCAGGCCGGGTGGTGGGACAAACAGAGACCCGGGGGGCATGTGCCCCTCAGTCTGTGTCTGGGGTGGAGGTGGCTGCTGCTGCACGCTGCACTTTGTTCCCTGCTGAAGCTGCCCCACACCTCCTGCCCACCCGGTGGCAGGACGCATGTGGTATCGTGCAGCTCTTGCAGCAGCGGGGCTCAGAGTGTAACGTGCAGTGGCAGTCCCATCCACCCCGCACACAGGTCGGTGGGGCATATGCCCCCGGGGCCTCTGCTTGTCCCACCACCTGGCCTGGCCAGGGCCCCACTTACCCCAGCCCCTACTCCTGCCTGTGCCCTGCTCCCTCCCTCACCGCTGGGGCCTTGATCTGCCCCCCACCCCAAGCCTTTTCCCCTCCTCCCTTCTCCCACAGACTTACCTTCTGGGGGGGCACCTCCAAATAATTTCTTCTCCCTCCACCTCAGTCTTCCCGCCCTTCCGTCCCCACATACTGATCTGCTGGGCGGTGGAGGGGAAGGGGTGCACAGTAAATTCTGGGTTGCTTTTTAATTAAAAAAGTGATCTCCTACTTAAAAAGGTTGGAGACCACTGATTTAGAGATACATTCATCTCTGAATTCCACATGGATTTACTTTCCTCATATTTAGAACTCTCCCTAAACACACACACACACACTTATTGCCTTGCCAATTTACTCAAACTTGAAACTTTCCAGTATAAAGTAAATCTGCCGAGATCTATGTACAGGCCTGTTGTTTGTATTTTGGGATCATCTTAAGGTTCTGTCATAGGTTGTGACTCCATGGAGCTGGATACCAAATAAATCCCAAGTAAAAGAGAGCCCTTGTTTGAAAGAGTTTATAGCTAAGTTGGAAGAAACAAGCATCCATGAAAAATGGAAAGAAGGAAGGGGAAGGCAGGGCAAAGGTAATGAAAATAAGATCCTGGTGTACAGGTAGCTATAGCACAACTTGAAATTGGCCCCAAGGTTCCATAAAACATTGCCTTTAATTTCCCCTTTTGCAGTATGAGTGGCTGACTATGCACAAAGTTAATCCTGTGAGCATAGTTATACAAAAAGAAGAGTACAGCAACATCTACTATGTATTTTATTGACAGTGAAACTCAATGATTGAGCTTAGTAGGAACCAAATAGTAACAAGAGTGAAACAAAAGCCAGGTCCTTGTCTGCTGGCTTTATGTATTGGACAGTGATGTAGTTCTGCATTAGGGAGGACTTGTAGGTGATTTCTAGTTTAACTCTGTTACAAACTTATTGGGAAGGTTGGGTTAAGCCCCTTGCCTGAGAATCAGGATACTGAGATTAAGTCTACATGGCACAAAACCATGCTGGGTAGATACCCATCTTAGCTGTGCAAACATTAGCTCCAGAACTGGAAGCAGCTTAGCTGCTTTACTGTGGTGATACACCTAGTTAATTAGCTCTGTGGAAAAGCAGCTTTTATTAGCCTGGGCCCAACACCAAGCTTAACGGGGTTCTGGAACTGGCACACACAAAGCCATCTACAGTGCATCATGCCTTTTAGATATATCCCTAGTGCCTGTCTCTTCCACCACTGATTCACTGTGGCCAAAGGAAAGAGGCACATCTCTCTGTGCTTCTGTTTCCCTATCTACAATACAAGGATAATGATCCTGAACTTTCTTTGCAATAACATTTTGATTTGCCTGGCTCTAAAGCTCTACAATCAGTGTGGTATTATTT